CCCCAAAACCCCAAAACCCCAAAACCCCAAAACCCCAAAACCCCTAAGAGATATTTTTGGACAGAAAACTTAATCTTAAATTATAAATGGAGTGAATCTGTACACCCAAAGGTAAGCAAAGAGGGGCTTTTAGTAGAGATAAATGGGAAACTCTGGTAGAGTATTCTAGTGGATAACACAGTGAGGCCACTGGCTAATTTTAGCCAGATTTAAGACATTTTTCTGAATCATGATTCCTTAGTCACTTCAAATCTGAGTAATACCAGCAGAAATTATGAAGAGTTGTAATAAAATTACAAATCAGTACTTCATTAGTTTTCAAAAATTTCCTTTTTATTTGCCACTCAACTCTGATTTCAACGGCTTTTAGTCAATTTTTCTGCTTCAATTTTTATCTAAAATTACTCAGATTCTGCTTGAAAAGGTTTAGTCTCTGAAAATCATGACTGATTGAAGAACATATGTTGCTAAATTTAGTCGTAAACCTTAAAAACTTGATTCCTGAAAATGGCTAAATTATTCATAGATGGCATGCAGGGCCAGGATTCAGATTTAGTGGGGAATGTCCGTGGTTTATCCACCCGCATAACTTTTACTACAGAGAGGGATATTAACGACGAAGAGGAAAGCGGCCCACAATTTTATTATGCCCCTCATGCTAAGGCTAATCAAGGAGAAGAAGATTATAAGTACCCATCTGGCGATAGAAAGAACTCAGCCGGTGCATTGAAGGAGAGTGACGACAAAGAGATTTACAGCTATGATCAATCTTCTAGACTAATTAAGAACGCCAAATCAACACTTCCAAGTGACATTAAGGAGTATGCATGAAGAAATTATACAGAAAGGGGCATAACTGCAAAACCTAATTATGAGAGTTCTACCTCTAACCATAAATTAAGAGTGAAAGATTTTGAATTCCTTGGGCTTCTTGGAGAAGGAGCTTTCGGAAGAGTCTTCCATGTTGTTCGAAAATCCGATGGAGAGCAATTCGCTCTTAAAGCTATCCGAAAAATGGACTGAAAGAATATAAAGTAAGTCTATCCCTTTCTAAAAATTTTGAATTAAAATTTCTAATAAATTTTAGAGAAAGAATTCACCGAGAAAGAGCACTGATGACTGATATAAACCATGTTGGAATCATCAAGCTGTACAGCACCTTCCAGGATTCAAAGAACCTGTATTTTCTATTAGAGTTAGCTTCAAACGGAGAGCTTTACACATACATGAAAAATGAGGAAATTCTACAATATAAGCAGGCGAAATTCTTAGCTGCAGAGATTCTGAGCATGATTGAGTACTTAAAGGATCAAAAAATCTCCCATAGAGATCTTAAACCTTCAAATCTCCTATTTGACTCAAGAATGCGACTGAAGCTCGCAGATTTTGGTTCAGCCAAATCCTTCCTTGATCAGGAGGTACAATCGGATGAGGTGCAAAACAGGCAGTCAGGAGGCTCTCCAACCAAAAGATCTATCAGGCGAATGAATACTTTCGTTGGGACTGTAGAGTACATGGCGCCTGAAATTATTCAGGGCACTTGAACGATGAACAGTTGTGACCTCTGGTCATTTGGGATTATCATCTATAAATTCTTTGCAGAGTCATCACCATTTCAAGGTGAGTTCGATGAAGATACAATAAGAAAGATTGAAGAGGAAGATCCCATTTTTCCAGAAAATTTTCCAGAAATGGCCAAGGATCTCTGTGAAAGGCTTCTTGAAAAAGATCCCCTCAAGAGAATTGGATGTGGGAAGGAGGGAACAGAACTTGATATGTTCTCCCTTAAAGCCCATCCCTTCTTTGATGGGATTGATTTTGAATACCTGGAATTTAGTGAATCTCCAATTCCTATTCCTACAGTTTTACTTTCATCTACAAAATCAAAAATTATCGAAAAATGAAGGAACTCTGCTCCTGTAAAATCAGAAAAGGCTTCTTCCACTATCACTGAACCAACAGATTTCACATCTGCGTGTGGAAAATCTAGGGTGCATAACTTAGACAATTGAAAAACACTTGAAGACTTTTATCAAAATTCTATAGCCAAAAACATTAGAGTTTTATTCAAAGGGCCTCTCAAGTACAGATCTCGTATGCTCATCACCTACAATTCTGCAACAGCTTTGTTCACTGACGAGCCTGCCTTATATCTGTACTCCCAGAACAAAGGACTTCTGAAGGCTAGATATAATATTCCAAGTTATGTTTTCACTCAAAAAGGTACAAAAATATAGCCAACTCAGTTATTTTTAGGAAGGAAAGCTACTTAGTATTTGGCTAAAATAAAGATCTTCACCTCTTAAACCTGCGATTTAGATATTTTCTATTAAATTTCTTATGAAGTTGACTTCGAACTTTTCTCACTTTATTAGTAAGCAGAAATTTTTCAAACACCAAAGAAAAGCATTTTGATAACGTTTTAATATTTAGGGAGCAATAGAAGTTTTAGTGAAAACGGCAAAAATATTTGAAGGTCTAATAAATTTAATCTCAAACAAATAAAAGTTGGAGGTTCGGATTTTGAAAAAGACACCCAGGATGCAACTGTCGAGGATACTTCTTATAAACCGTGCAAATTTAAGATGTGCACAAGGAAAGTCTCTGATGAGACTATTGATTCTCCCTCAGACTTGGTCTTCCTCCTTAACAAATATTGTGCTAAGGAGTAAAGTTGGTTACTAAATAGGGAGAATCCATTTTATATCATAAATGATTCAACAAGAGTTGGACAGCCAGGGGTTTTGGGGTTTTGGGGTTTTGGGGTTTTGGGG